TCCAGAGTAGCTGAGACTACAGGCACACACCACCATGCCCAGCTAATTTTTGTATATCTTGTAGTGAAGGGGTTTTGCTGCCATGTTGCCCAGGCTGGTCTGAAACTCTTAAGCTCAAGCCCACCTCAGCTGCCCAAAGTGCTGGGATTACAGGAGTGAGCTACCGTACCCAGACAGCACTTACATTTTTAAAGTTTATACACAGTACCATCTAATGTGATTTTGTTTTATTTTTTAAAGTCGATATGGGAATCTTGCTACGTTGCACACACTGGTCTTATAAACTGCTGGCTTCAAGCAATCCTCCCATCTTGGCCTCCCAAAGTGCTAGGATTACCGGCATGAGCCAGGGTTCCTAGCCTGATTTCAGAGTTAAGAATGTTTGGACTCTATTTTATGGTAAAAAGGAAGTCAAAGTTACCTTCCCCTAGATAGCCAAATGCCTCTCAGATGGGGTTGTTAGACACTGCTTTAATTTAATATGGAAAGGACTTTTCGCTTCCCCTTCTCCAAGTTTCAATAATTCTTAACAGAGGGAAACAGCAACAAAATTTTGCTGCAGTGGGTATTAAAGAAGGGAAAACAATCCTGAATGCTGGAGTCAAAATGCCCAAGGGCGGAGGCACCAGGGTTCTCTCCCTGGCTTGGCTGTGCACCAGCAGTGTGACCTGGAATCGGATCTCACTGGAGCTCAGTGTCCTCGTCTATAAAATGGGCTATTGAGCTACACACTTGGCAGGTCTTTGCCCTAAAGGTCATTTTCAAAATAAAAAATTATGCCACTTCCCTTTTCTCACATTAACCCTAAGAGAGAAAGAGGAAGCGGGAGGCCCGCACACGGAAGCAATTTGTGCGCAGACGTTCCTGGGCTAGGAGAGGAGCCTTCGGGTTGCTGCAGAGACGGTCACCCGCGCCTGCTGCACCTTCACCGGCGGTGCGGAGAACTGCAGCGCGGCTCGGCGCACGGGCTCGCGAGGGCTGCGCAGCCACCGCGGTGTGCAGGACGGGGAGCGGCGGCTGACATGGCCGCTGGGCGTCCCAGTGCCCGCCCCGGCTGGGGGCCCTGCCCTGCCACTATCTCCGAGGCTTACCGCCGGTGCCTCCCGGCAGGGCGGCTCCCCCAAAAACCGCCCGCAGCCAGCCCCGTGGAGCTGCACCCGCCCCCGCCCCCAGGACCGGCCCCTCGCGGACAGGGCCAGGACTTCCCTGGGCGGCTGCAGCCGTGAGCCACCCCTGTTTTGTTAAACCCACACTCTGCCATTCAGGCTACACTTGCCCGTTGCCATGGGCATTTTCTGTGTTGTTGACACAAGCAGGGACACGGAATCCCTTGACTTTGAGTTGCAGATCATGGGTGTTGGCGTCTCCCCTGTGTTACCAGGAAGGGTGGAAGGGGCTTCAGCCTCCATTCTCACTTTCCTTGTCAAGGAGTTGGCTAAGCACCAGGAGTTTTCTCTTAAGCTTCTCTCAGGTCCCCTTTCCATAAGAGGTGAAAAGTTTTCAGAGAGGTGGGCAGCTTTCTCTCTATTCTCAAGGGACCACTTCACACACCCCCTTTTCACCTCCAGAGTAGATGGAACTGTGGAACCATGGAACCCTGCCCGCTGTTGCTTCTGTCATCCCCTACTGGGACCAGAGCCACAAAAGCCCTAACTCTCTCCAGCCTGCAGGCATCCCAACAAGAGTAAGCGAGGAGGCAGAGACCAGGAGGACAGCAAGAGGCTTGAGCCCGCAGAGAGGGCTTGGGAGCACAATGCCGAATGTGGGTCCAACCACTGCTTCTCAGTGGGGTGAGAGAGTGGTGTGGGGAGAGCCGTGGGCATTTAGGGCAGGACAGTGTCTGCCCCCCCAACTAGGAAAGGGCTGCATTGTATCATCATATCTAGCCGCTCCCACCCCCACAACCCCTATGTATGGAATGCAAGTAGCACCTCCCCATCATTGTGACAACCCAAAATGCCACCTCTTATGTCCAAGCACCCTCTAGAGAGTGAGGTGTTTCCTTAGGTTGAAAACCACTGTTAGATCATTCCTAAAAAATATTTCAAAAGACATCAGTTCCTTAAGATGTAAGTAGGTATATGAAAAGAGTACCATGCTGACATCAATATCATGTTAGGTTTGGGAAATGGTGGGTTAAAAAGTGGAACAGGATTTATTTACAGGACCTCTCAGAACCTTTAATATATAAAAATATATGTTTAGTGATTTTTTTTTTTTTTTTTTTTTGAGATGGAGTTTCACTCTTATTGCCCAGGCTGAAGTGCAATGGCGTGATCTCGGCTCAGCACAACCTCCACCTCCTAGATTCAGGTTATTCTCCTGCCTCAGCCTCCTGAGTAGCTGGGATTACAGGCATGCACCACCACACCTGGCTAATTTTGTATTTTTTAGTAGAGATGGGGTTTCTCCTTGTTGGTCAGGCTGGTCTCGAACTCCCAAACTCAGGTGATCCACCCGCCTTGGCCTCCCAAAGTGCTGGGATTACGGGTGTGAGCCACCACCCCCGGTCATAAATATATGTTTTGAATCACCAAGAGGGAGACGGAGTATGCAGATCCCCAAATTTAATTGGCTCTGGAATTCTTTCTTTGTGGGACCCTTTTGAGTAGAACCCACCTAAGATACCTGTGAACTACATTTTGTTGTCCAGAGCACTCTCTGGGGACTTCTGTATCCTCCCAGTGTGAAGTGCAGGAGTGAGCAGTCAAAAGGCCCTTATGTTCTTACTGAACTGAATCACCTAGAATGTGTGAAGATACCAGGAAGGAGGCCAGAGCTTCAGGAAACCGCTGCAAAGATGACCTCACAAAGAAACCATTGTGGCGAGGCTTCTGGAGCACTCGAGGTGATGTGACGTGTCCTGTTCCTGAGAGCAGGCCGTCCGGCTGGCGCCTGGAGCTTGCATGGCTTGGGGAAAGGAAAATAGCCCAGGTGTTTGGAAGAGAAGTATGTGTGGATAGAATTATTCAAATGCTGACTTATGGATTGGGTCTCCTCTCCCGCTGGACTGGCAGCCTCTGTGTGGACGGCTTTGCCCAGGAGATGGGTCACAGCAGCTCTGGTGAGATGCTGGAAACATAAGCCCAGGCAGATATAATGGCAGCGAGTCACAGTAAACCAACAGCCATCAGGTGCTCAGAAGGGAAGCCGAAGCCAGGGGACTCACTGTGCGGAGCTAAGCGAGGAGTAGGACTCTCCTGTTCAGCAAAACACAAAGAGCAGAGTGTTTAAGCCCAAGGATCAGCTTCCTCTAAATTGAAGCCCAAGCTGTGCACGCTGAGCTCCGGGGCTGGGGATACAATCGCCTGCCACATGCAGGAGGATGCCACCCAAACATACCCATTTCTCCCGGGGCAGGGGCAGGGGCAGGAGAGATGGGGCCCTACCACTTTCTGTGTAAAACTGGGTGAGCAGCCCAGCGCCCAGGCCGAAGCACCTCGCCTGTACCCTCCCAGCCTTGTAATCTGCGTTCTGCTCGCCATGTGCTCTGTGCTAGTGAAACTGCCCTCGCAGCAGAAATACACTGTTGGCTCTTAAGTTTTTTCCAGACTAACCAGACTGGCCAATGCCTGTGGCTCTGTGTTCAAAATAAAAGTGCCTAAGAAAGAAAAGAAAATGCAGGTAGGCAGTCCCCACTTCTCCAGGGCTGGTGCGCTCTCGGGATCCTGCCTCGGCCTGTTTAACAGCCCAGAGTAGCTTTAAAAAAAAAAAAAAAAAAAAAACCCTGAACAACCTTTTTTTGCACATGGGTCACAGTCAAGCTTCTTAAACTTGGATGACAGTAAACCTATGACTAATTAGATAATGAAAGCCACAAGTCTGGAGGCCCGGGCAGGGTTCTGCTGTGGAATCTCCGGTGGCCTATTCCGTAGGCTAGCGCCTCTTGTCTCCCCCATAGCAGAAATGCCTTCGTGAGTTTGAAACCCTCTGTGCTGACCTCTACATCTTCTCAAGGTCAGTTCTCCATGTTCATGGCTTCATGCCCCAACCCTGCATCCCTGTCCACTGCAAGGAAGGAGGAAATCTAACCCACCTGCCACAGCGCAGCCCACACTCACCACCCTGCCCGACAGGAACATGACGGAAGGTTTCCAACCAAAACCAAAGTTACTCAGCAAAGCTTCCTGCCAGGCAGTCATGCTGGAGGGCGCAGCGTGCCTCCCTCAGCCTTTTCTGTTCTATGAAACTTCTCTGCTGTAAGCACTTGAGAGCCTCCCCACATCCTGGGGAGAGTGGACAGAACTTCAAAGCAGGCACGGCTACAGCTTCGAAGCCCCTGGGTTGCTTCAAAGACTCTGTCTCCTCCCAGTCTGAAGCTTCTGGTGAATGTTTCTCCCTCATTTCTGAAACAACAGATAGAGCTGCTGAAGTTTACGACGTCCCCCAAGGCATTTCAGTGTTTCTGCTTTTAATCTAGGGCCCAAGTGAGCACCCACAAGAATGCCCCGGACTCTGACCGCCTCAGGATGTGTCCTGCAATTTACATCCCGGAGATGCCTCTGCCTTCACTCCACCCTGGTGCCTCCGCCTCCACGGCAGCCGCCTCTTGGGCCACCCCTGCCTCTTTCCTTTCTCCATCATGCCAAAAAGTGCCCTCGTCCTCTGACGGTGGAAGATGGGATGCAACTAAGGGTCGGGATGGTCTATGTGATTTTTGTACACTATTCCAGAATAGTATGTGGTTGCTTTAAAAAGAAGGCTGGGGACAGTGGCTCACAGCTGTAATCCCAGCACTCTGGGAGGCCGGGGCGGGAGGATCACGAGGTTAGGAGTTAGAGACCAGCCTGGCCAACATGGTGAAACCCTGGCTATAGTAAAAATACAAAAAGTAGCCAGGTGTGGTTATGCATGTATGTAATCCCAGCTATTCAGGGGGCTGAGGCAGGAGAATTGTTTGAACGCAGGAGGCGGAGTTTGCAGTGTGCCGAGATCACTCCACTGCACTCCAGCCTGGGCAACAGAGCGAGACTCTGTCTCAAAAATAAATAAAAAGAAAAAAAAAATGTGTCTTTCAAATTTTTGAAGCCCTTTGATTTCAGGAAGCTGTGGGCCGTGTTTAGCCTGTGGCTCTGTGGGCCCCTTGGCTGCTGCTGCCTACTCCGGAGTGTAAGGTTGCCAACATAAGAAGCAAGAGTAATTTGGATTTGTGCTTCTTAGTAAAAACCCTTTGCCATTAACCTGCAAAACTCCAGAGGGTAGGGGATCTCACACTGAGGATGCCTGTGAAATAGTGGGCATTCTCCAATGATTGTTGTTGGATTCATGTCATTCCTTAAAGAAAAAAAAAAATCAAAGGAAGTCACTCTTAGGATGGTAGATTTGCAAGTGTTTAGGCCAAACGTGTTGAGAAATTGCACATATACTGCGTATATCTCATGTCAGCAGGAACTTATGCTACAAAACTTCTTGTTTCACCCGCGATCTTATCATCTGTATCGGGCAGACTAAGGCCTGGCAAACCAGATGAGCCTTCAGGAGATCTGCAGACTGATAAGGGCATTTGAGATAAAGAACTCGCATAGAGTTCTAAAACCAAAATGAAAAGTAGAAAGATGATTGTCCTGTGAAGTGGCCCCAAGCCTCAGACCATCACCGTCTGCCTCTGGCCTCACTTGAGGGCCAATGAAGATGCTCAGTACAGAGCCTCTTAGCTGTGGTTGTGACTTCCTGGCTGGCCAGGCCGAAAGTAGGGGGAGGAAGAAGTGCTGTGGTGAGCTCTGTGACTCAGGGGGAAGCAGCCGGGACATGAGCCCAGCGCGCCTGCCTGGGGTTGCTGCAGGGAGGTGGCCTAGGGACAGATGAAGCTGCAGTGGGGACTACCTCCCCTGCAGAAGCAGCTTTCTTGTCCCTCCTCATCCAACACATCCCAACTTAAAAAACCATTATGTATAACTCGGAAAGCAGGTCCATGCTGCACTTGTGTGTGTCCTTCCAGATTTCTTTGTTCCTGGGGGGGAATCGGCAATAAACATCACATTCCTTTTCAGTGTTAGGTTGCGACTGCATCAAAGTTAAGAAAAAAAAGTTGTAGTCAAACCCTCTATTAACAGATAAATTTAAGTAAGAACGGTGGAAGTTCCTGCCAGCTGCTGATGATGGGTTTTCCAGAAGGGAATGATATGCCAGCAAGGCAGTGATTAAGTGTGATGACAGCTACCAATTTAGTGAAGGGTCAGTGGTTTTCTTGTATATTTATTTATTTTTTATTTTTATTTATTTATTTATTTATTTGTTTTGAGACAAAGTCTTGCTCTGTCATCAGGCACCAGGCTGGAGTACAGTGGTGCGATCACAGCTCACTGCAACCTCTGTCTCCTGGGTTCAAGCAATTCTCCTGCCTCAGCCTCTGGAGTAGCTGGGACCACAAGTGCAAACCACCACGCCCAGCTAATATTTTTGTATTTTAGTAGAGACGTGGTTTCACCATGTTGGCCAGGATGGCCTTGATCTCTTGACCTTGTGATATGCCCACCTTGGCCTCCCAAAGTGCTGGGATTACAGGTGTGAGCCACTGCGCCCGACTTTATTTTTATTTTTTTCTAAGACAGAGTCTCACTCTCTCGGCCAGGCTAGAGTGCAGTGGTGCGATCTCAGCTCACTGCAAGCTCTGCCTCCTGGGTTCAAATGATTCTCCTGCCTCAGCCTCTCTAGTAGCTGGGATTACAGGTACGTGCCACCACGCCCGGCTAATTTTTTGTATTTTTAGTAGAGATGGGGTTTTAC